TGACATCCTTAGCCACTAAAATGACCACAGCTCATGCATATTAAGAATGGAAACCCTGAGAGATTGGCTGGTCAATTCAGAAGACCCCATGTGCTTTTGTTTTCTAATAGAGCTTTCCAACATTATGAGCCATAGTAAACCTCCCAGCAGTTACCATGGAAGATTTGTTTCATACCTAGGTTGTTTTACTCATCCTGATCTTGTGAACATTTTATTTTCATTTTTTTGCCTTCCAAGAATATAATAGGAATTAGTCAAATTTAAGCTCATACTATAGTTTGCTTTATTATTATTGACATTTATCATATAACATTACTATTCCAATCTTTTATGTGGACAAAATAAATGATATAAAATACAAAATGAGCTTTTAACAAATTTAACCATACACAAAATATGGAATTATCAAAACTATGTTACATGGGTCTTTTACAAAGGAAAAAATGGCTAATAATACATTTAGATGAAACATCATTGAATTTTGAATGTTACATAATATTAAATATAGACATAGTCAAAACAGTTACTTTTAGAGAACCAGTTTTATGTTTTACTATTAAAAATGAATATTGTGTAAATGAAAGCTTACAAAAATATTTTTAAGCAAAACCTATGGTCTACTCATATACTTGCAGTTACAAAAATATATTTTCCTCTGAAACTAAAAAAATTGCTTCAGGCATTAGATATTTAATGTATGCTTTCTAAATATTTCAACAACTTAGTATTCTTGTATAATATACAACACACATATGGCATTAGAATAGATTTACCTTATGAATAATAGAATTTTAAGTCAAAGATACAAGTGACTATTGTATATATAGAGAATTAAGGGCCCTGTGAAGATTTTTTAATTAAATATATCCAATACACTGATTAAATATATTATATATCCTATTTATATCCAATGCAACTGATTGGGTCTTATTAAGTGAATTTTCAGAACATCTGTTGAATGACAATGAGTGGATGGCAGTAATTACTGTGTGTGCCTAAAATGAACTCCCCAATCCTTGTTCTTTCTGATGTTCCCAGTACTTTTAATAAATATCATTTATGTCCATTAGACTATTTTTTAATGGTAAACCAGGTAAGTAGATTTAAGATTGACTGGACAGTGATTCAGCTTGGACCCTGGTATGTCTCCCAGAGCTCTCTGTGTTAAGGACTTAATTCCCAGCCTGGTAAGGTTCCTGTGTCTGTGGAGACCTGCCTTTGAAAGGCGGTGGGGCTCAAATCTCTTCCTCATCTCTGTGATTTTGCTAAGAATCAAAGGATTTTTGTTCTGCTATCCTCTCCTGCCGTGAGCTGCTACTCACCAAAGTGATACTCACTGCACAGACTTCAGCTGATTATGGCCTAGATCCTCCGACCTTGGAGTAAAATAAACCATTCCTCTTTATAAGTTAATTATCTCCGACAACTTTTCACAGTGATGACCAAAAAAGGAAAAAAAATGGAGGAATAAGAAAAGATGGCTCACATAAATAGCAAGATAACACAGCGAACGAGACACCCACCAGGCACACCTAAAACCTAGACAGCACTTGTGTCTATAGAAGACATCATACTAGCCACCAATAAACTCTGTCTCATATTTTTATATAAATAAAACTCCCAAGTCTAACTTTTATAGTTAATTATCACAAAATAAAAAGTAGTTGATATATAATGTATAAGGACCCATGCATACACGTATCTGTATATCACATGGCAGACTTAGTATACTTCAGGAATCTATCCCTGTGATAAAAGAAACTGTCCCAAGTGAAGCAGTCTTCTCACTAGGTCACAATCAAGGGATGCACAGACTGGCTCTCCTTCAATAGACCTCCTTGCATGCCAGGTAGTACTTAGCAATATCAGTATTAACAATGTTGACAATGGCAAATCACTAAAGTAGCCAAGGATTCTGAAAGCAAACATTGGTCACTATGACCAGCATAGAATTGCAACACCTAGGAAAATGGTGGCCATTTGCAAAAATTACTGTGCTGGGGCTATTTTTGGTAAAGACACCTCTTATACAGATTTTCTACAGGAAAGTAGAGTATACTTTATTTAACCGACAAACCATTTCAGAATCTTCTGCCTTCACACAGAGGACAAGGTTATTTCTGAACACTGATTAATAAATGTATATATATAAATCCATACTAATGCATATGTGTGGCAATGAGATCATAGCTGGCTAAGGAACAAGTATAGACTTGCAGGAAAATTCACATAAAAACAAAACTTTAAAAACTAAAGTTTCCCATAATTGAGAAGCAATTCGGTCAAATGCTAAACTTTAGTAGTTTGGTTTGAATACCACTAGTGTGAAGAGTCTAGAACTAGTTTAAGACTTTTTTAAAGGACGAATGACTTAAAGCAAGGTTATTCCTTTGAAATTTCAATATTATGATTTTATAACTAGACAGCAAGACAACACCAGCTAAGCTATGTGCAATTGTTTCCCACAGGACTACAGCTGTGTGGACTCGTGTGAGAAGACGTGACTGTTGGAGTGAGAAATGTGTTTGCTTTCAATTACATTGAATAATTTACTATCAACCTAAAGCTTCGAAAACAGTAAATACGTGCAATACCTATAAAATCTATGTGCCCATGACAGGGCATTAGCTTAAGTTAGCTAATACCTCCTCTCTAGGATTTTGTTTGCTTAAGGTTAGGTAATACCTACTCTGGGATGTGTTTCTCTTACTGATTTTCTTCACTGTTAAAGGTAGCATAGGGTCAACTTCACGTCATTCTGAATTGAACTGCTCAAGCTTACAATCAATACAGTCAGAAACAGTGCGTTCTTATGTGGTATCTTTGTCCTTCGTAAGCAGTATCTCACACTGCTGTTAAGACTGGCCTCGCATTCACTCTGTAGCTCAGGCTGGCCTCAAACATCTGGCGATCCTACTGCATCAGTCTCCTCTGAGTACCAGGATTTCAGGAGTGAGCCACCTCTGCCTTAAAGGAGAGCCAACATAACTTAACATGTGGCTTCCTGTGTGCGAGGAAAGTGGTCAACCACATTCATAGCCACAGCCCCGTCTTTTTCAATTGAACACCTTGCAGCAAAAAGAGTGGCCACTGGATACATACGGGATTGAATACACTAGAAAAATGTGTGTTAAATGGAAACAAAGCAGTTTGAGTCTCCAGATCAGATGCTGGTTTATAGGAGAGCACATCTACTAGAAACTCAGTATTACCAACCTGTCAAGTAAATCTGGAACAGAAATTCTCACTCTCTGTCTGTGTTTCTCTCTAAGTAAGAAATAGATATATTTTTTTAGATCTCAAATAGTCACAGTATTACAAAATTAAACTTTGTAATGCTAGAAACCAACGAGAGAAACCTATAAGATAGTACACGATTTGGTTTCCATGGTGAGATATGAAATCTCTTGGTGGGCACACAGTGGCCCATGTCCACATACTGAACAGTAGGCAGACCTTCTTAGTAGCTTGTCAATAAACACTGGTCACAGAGGAAAGCGCAACATTAAAGCAAGTGTGTCCTAATCCCAAGGCCTTCTGATAATCCAATGTCAAAAGAAGAATACCATATATTATGGCATTGAAAAATTATCATTTACCTATAGAAGATTTTTAACTGTTATCAGTTTTGGAATTATAGTCAAGTTTTATATGATGTCCTACTCCTGGCTTGCAATACATAGGTAGACTCTTCAATTGTGAATGGGAAATGCCAAGGAGAGCCTATAGTTCTCATACATTAGGGGCATTTTGCATACCCTCACTTGATTTGCAACATAATTTGTATAATTAAATAACAATACACATCATTAAGCTCCAACTTTACTAAGAAAATAACTGTCAATATTATAATGGCTCTCATTAATAAAGAAAAGCAGAATGATACATAAAGAAGATAGGTTTCCCAGGTAACCTCTGACTCCACCGTATTCACCACGTGAAGGTGTGCATGGTTGTGGGTTAATCTTTGCTTTAACTTAGTTATGGAGAGTGGGCAACAGAACAAGGTCATCTTTCCTTACTGCTACAAGGCTATGTGAAGATGAAATAATAAATGTGGGCTAGGCAATCAGAGGTACCATTTAGTACGCACTAAATGATGGTGGCTCTAATTCTATTACATTAAAAAAATTACAGTGACTGATTGATGTTACTATGAACCACTAGCAAAATTTTAAAATTAGGAAGTGCTGTGTACAAAGATAATATGTTGAACGCGAGAAATAACATTGATCACATTCTGTTATATAGAGTGGGTCCTTAATGCAGTAACTTATAAATGTCCCAAGGCCAATTATATACTCCATGAGCTATAACCACACTTCCTAGCCCTGTGAAGGCTTCCTTCTGGGATGATGAATAAAGAAGAATAAAGTGATGAAAAGGGTCTGTGAGTCAACCAGTTCTCACTCTTCAGACCTTCAGCAGAAGACAGTATGAATTACCAGAGCACCGGTCAGGTGTGCTGATAGTGGCAAGAATGTTTATTTCCTGAAAGTTATGCATGTATGTCATATAAATATGCAAATGTAGGTCCTATCTTTATTAAATTCAAAACCTTTCTTTAGCAGATGATGTCGGTTTCCCTATTGTTAGTCACACACGAATTTGTTAAAATAAATCAGGTGCTCTGTTCATTCATTTTCACCTTAACTAGTAGAACACATATATTCCATGCCTTTGGAATATATTTTTCATTAAATATTTCACTGGCAGTAAAGACAGCTTTTAATGAAAGTCATTACAATGTTTATAAAGTAAAACTGAGTAACAGGTTGCCAAAACTGTAGTTAAGGTAAGGATTTCATATGTTTAGCCTGTATTCATTCATAGTCCTGTGCTGCATGTGGCCTTGGGTCAGTGATGGACGGCCCATAGGAGATGGTTCCATAGACCATGCTGTCTTCTCAGCTTGCGTAGTGTATCCCATGACATATGCACAGCGAGAGTATCACCAAAGGGCACGATTTATCCCTATCATTAAGCAAAACACAACTCTATCATAATCACAGTGAGGATATTTTAATTATCTTTAAAATTATATATTTAAAACCAATATTAATCTAACTCATGGTGATAAAAACAATATTAGTATAGCGACACAGAATGTTTATTGCATATACTTTAGAATGAATACAGTCTATACCTAAGTTGCATAAATTATCAAGGTTCTTTGCTAAAGGCCCTTCAAAGTACAAGAAATACATCTATTTTTCACATCTTATTCATACAACTTTATAGAAAAATACTCCTGATGGTATATTTTTAAGTGTCTGACATATCACAGGAATACTTCAAAAATTAAACTTGTCTTAGTTCAAGGTTGAGTTTCCAAATAGATTTTTTTTTTTCTTCCTCACTCAGTCCTCTCCTTCCCCAATCCTGGCAGCTCCCTGCCCACAGCCATCAATGGAGTCAGCCGCTCTTCAGGGCTCACTGCAGAGATCTACAGAAGCACCTGCCTGCTGGAATGTTTACACAGAGAGCAGTCTTAACAACAGGGAAGAAGTCAAGGAATCTTCATTTTTTTTCTTCACTACCAAGATGCCTTAGAAGAAGCGGAGGTGTGTAATTTCCTACCTCCCACACATGCACTTCTGTGTGGTACAGGCAGGAGACGGAAACCTGTGTCTCCCGATTGACACTGTCCATAACATTCCTGTATGCTGGCTTCCCGAGTGTGGCCATCATTTTTAGTGACAGACTTCTTCAGGAAGAACTGTTAAGTATCACATGTGCCCAGTGTGGAAGTTAAAAACAAATACAATATAATTAATGAATGAGAAAGGGACCAGAACAGTTTATCTTTTATCACTGTGTATTTTTCCTCTAAGTTCCAGCAGTGAGTTTTGCCCTCATACGAATCTGTAACGTCAGTATATAGAGTGTGAGGCTGGGTCGTCTGAATGAACTGCTAGTTCCAACATAAATATCCAAAGGGAACCAAATATCAGTTATTTACACCAGGATGGGGGGCAGGGTTATATCTTAAATATGCATCTCTTTCTCTTCAGTGGAGAACACTAACTTGGTCAGCATCTGGAAGCTTCTACCTGCTTGGCTTTTGGGAACGCTTATTCTTCTCCAGCTGGGGGTGGTGGCTCACACAACTTATACAGCCTAGAAAAGACACAGGACAGGATGACAATCAATTAGAATACCACCCTCACCAGAGTGTTTCTGTTGGAAGAACAAATACATTAAACAATTTCTTGGCTCCATCAGCCATCACCACATTGGCTGTTTCACGGAAAATAGTATCTGAATCAGCTTGATCCAAAAATCTGGACCTCTGATATAGAAAATACTTCCCTTTCTTTGAGCACATTCAGAAGTCTGTTCGTGAACTGACACTTTGTTTTTACCTCCAGCCATAAAATTATTTCATTGCTACTTCATAACTATAGTTTTGCTACTGCTATGTATTGTAACATAAATACCTGATATGCAGGATAGCTGATATGACCTCCAAAAAAGGTCATGACCCACAGGTTGAGAATCACTGTCTTAGAACCTGCTGCTCTGCTCCATGCTGTCTGTTTCCTTTGCTGATAGTAAAATCTATCCCTTGGATGCCAGGCGGCAGTGTCATTCTGATAGTTAGCACCTTGTCCATCAGAGGTATCTTGCAGTGATGTGGTCTCTACCTCTTGGGGACCTACAGATTTTCCTACACCTACTATAAATTTCCCTCATGTTCCACTATCCCTCTGGACCAGAGGCTGGCTGTGGATGGGTTGATGTGACAGAAGCTGAAACCCGAATCTCACGACACAGTTAGTTACCTGGCCTTTTCTGAGGCTCCACGACTGGCTACAGCCAGCCACCAGTCACCTGTCAGTGGGAGCCCCAAGTTCAAAGAATTCACGTTTTTGGTAGAGAGGTTGGGGCATGCTCCTTCACAGCCAGCCCTGGTTCTTTGAGACCACAAAGGAGTAACCCACAGCTCAGAACTCATTCACAAGTTGGCCAGAGTGGCTAAAAGCTAACTGGAGAACCAAAGGAAAGGGAACAAAATATTGTTGAATAATGCTAGTGACCTCAAGGCCACATGTATTCCTTATACTACAGCTAGAGTAGTGACTCTCAATCTACCTAATACTTCAGCCCTTTAATACATTTCCTCAACTATAAAATTATGTATTGCTACTTATAACTATAATTATTATATTTATTATATTACTCTATTTACTATTGTAACTACAATTTTGCTACTGTTATGAATTGCAATATAAATATCTGATATACAGGTTATCTGAGGTGTGACCCCCAAAGGGGCTATGGCCCACTGTTGAGAACCACTGATCTAGAGGCTGAGCTAAAGTGCTTAAGAAGAATTAAGACTACACTGTCCTGCTTTGTACATTAGGCTAGTATTTCCATTGCAGAACTCAGTTTAAATACATCTCGTGTGTGTGTGTGTGTGTGTGTGTGTGTGTGTGTGTGTGTGTGTGTTGTCAGGGGTGTTGCATATGGCTGCTAAGGATGGAATCCAGGGCTTTTATAGTTGCTAAGCACATGCTCTACCACTAAGCTATACTCCCAGTCTCGACTCCCCAGTCTTCCAGACTTTTGAAAGTGTTTCAAACAGGGGTCACTAAGGAAATATTTATTCCTTTTTGCACTGTATGTTGAACAGAACTTAAAAGCACTGTTAGTCACTTCAGCAAACTATAAATTTCCTCTCCCTGTGACATATAAAACCATGCTAATTCTAAACCAGTGGAGAGAAATGAGAATGATTTAATAGCAAATTGCAAGTCTGGTTAATAAAATGAACTTTATCGGTCTGGGAGCCAGAAGTTACTGTCTTTGGAGGTTTGCACAAAGCACTTCATGCCTAAAAGGTGGCTTATGGGTTGTCTCCACAGAGGAGGAGAAAGCTAAAAAGCTTGTTTTCTCTTCCCAGAGAAAAGAACACATTAAATTGAACTGATGTAGTTTGAAGATTTTTCTGCAGCTGGAGTACAAGATGCTGCTTCAAACTGCCTTCTGGGACTGGAGAAACAGAACAATCAGAAGGTTCTTTTCTTTCTCAATTTTTATCCATAGTGGCAAAGTACAGAGGCCTGAGAGCAGGAAGAACAGGGATGGGAGGACTGGTGGAGAATGCCCTACCTATCACATCTTATTACCTGGCTCTGCATGGTTATGCCCAATACGACCAATTCTAGCAGAGAGATGAGTCTTTGAAACGTCTGCCTTGCAAATTGGAGCAAAGACTATTCCCTGAAGTCACCAAATGCAATAATAGCTCTGTCTACTGCAGAGCTGGGAAGCTTCAGCTGCTGTGAGGCTTCTTGGAAGTGACTCAGGGTTATCTGAGTTCAGACACACTTGTAATGGAAACTGTATGGCTCGGGCAGTGTAGTCCAGGCAGATGAATTTGGGAGGTGAAGTATAATAGGGAAGGAGTTGGATTCTAATGCTGAAACTGTGGCTTCTGCTTAGGGAAGCTAAATATTGGGACAGTGCGGGGGGAGGGGGATTTTGCTGGCCCTACATGCGAAGCTCTTATCCTACACATGGCACTAGAGGCTCCGCATAATGAAGGCTGTCCTGGCTCTTCTTCCTTGTTGGGCTTATATTGCTGCATCAAGCAGTATCCCCAAACTTTACTATCTACACTATACCCTTTACCTTCCTACATGTTCTAATGGGGACTACAGGACTTCTTCCATAGTTAAAATAAACTGTGTCTCAGCAATTCTCCCTTGGGACAGATGAGAAATTGGAATCTCAGAGAAAAACACACACAATACACACACACACACACACACTACAGAAGGTTCTGTGGAGAACAAGAGTTGGGACTTGGGACTTGATTTACCCTCTCTCTTTCAAACATTGATATGTGCTGCCCCTAAATTACACAAAACAAGTCAAACTCTCATGGCACAGTGGTTTCAGGTTTACAATATAACAGAAATAAGACCACCATGCCTCACGTGGTTCTCTGACATTTGTTCTTGGTTACTACCACACTAACCTAAGGCACAAAGGAAAGCCAGAGCTAGGTAGAACTTTCTCCAAGCCCTCCTCATATCAGTGTTGCTTAACACACATACACACACACACACACATATGCACAAATGCACACAAGTATGCTCACACAGGCACACACACAAGGTCATGTGTGCACACATGCATACATGTATGTGTACCTTTGTTTATGTCCCTATGTCCTGCTAGGCTGGAGCTCCTTGAGCACATTTACATGTGTGTGGACATCTTACTATCAAAGGCCATTCCTGACATATCTCAGACATATAGTGCTGAAGCAGAGTGGCAACGATGTTCAGGAAACTACGTACCAGGACGAATCTATCTAAAACAATTAAACTTCAGAACTTGGTGATGTAACATGCTAATTCCCTGAATCAGGATGTCTATTCTTCCTGTGTGCTGACCATGGCCACTTGCTCCTTTGTGAATTCTAGAACTCCTGCCCTGTTTACCTTCAGCCCTTCAGCTTCGCAGACTGCTCGTCCTCCATCCTGTTGCCCTGCTGCTCGTCACACTCAGTGTCACCCCGTGGTATTTGTAGCCTTCCCTACCACCAGGTAGGAACACTCAGGTCTTCACTGACCCGGGACTCACAGGACGGTAGGTCTGCCTTAACGACGGACCTGTAGACTGAGCGGCCCACATCTCAGTGTGACCAAGCTGAGATCACCATCTTTGTCCAGTGCATATTCTTCCCCTCTGCATTCGCTGTTCCAGGGCAGAGACTACTAACTGCTTTTTATCCAGATAGAATGTCTTATGGTCATTCTAGAATGTTCTTTCTCACTAACTCCTCTCCAGTTTTCACCCAAAGGCTATCCATTATGCCTCCAAGTGTCTGTCTTTTCATCTTGGTTCTTCTTGCTATCTTTTCAGACATGTCTCTGGTCCTAGATGTCCTCCTATGGACCACCCCATTGTCACCTGAGAAGGCCCTAAGATTCCAATTTTCCACACGTGAAGGTGAGGAATGCCACTGTGGTTTTTTTTTTTTTTCAAGTTCAAATGAAAAATCTTCCTTATTCCTGTAGGTATCTCCCTGTCTGGCTTCTGCCTACGTTTCCAGCCACACTCTTCATCATCCATTAGTCACAGAGGTTGAGGAATCTTCTCATCTTGCTTTAACCAAAAGGCCTGCCCCTCCCAAACACAAAACAGAAAATCCATAGATGTCAGTATATGTTTGCTGAGTGATAATAATAATAAAATAATAATAATAATATAGAAAGAAAGTGGATTTTAGGGATACAATGATGGAAGTCAGTTGGGAGATTTGAGTCAAATAAAATCTCAGGCAGAGATAGCTCACTAGACCTCTAAGAATGAACTTTCTAGAAATATTTGGCCAGCTTTGCCAGTGGGCAGTTTGGCCCTGAGAACCAAGTGTGTCCTCCTGCTAACTGTCTTTGAGGAAAGTGCTGGTTCCTGTCAGGAGGGATCCGAGGCCTCAGTGAGCCTCTGTATTCTCACTGTGGCTTGCCTGCTCCCTCCTCTCCTCTCCTCTCCTCTCCTCTCCTCTCCTCTCCTCTCCTCTCCTCTCCTCTCCTCTCCTCTCCTCTCCTCTCCCCCCCCCTCCCCTCCCCTCTCCTCCCCTCTCCTCCACTCTTTGCCTCTTCTGTCTTCTCCTCTCTCTCTTGTTCCTCCTCTCCTCCCTCCCCCTTTTCCTGTCTCTTCCTTACTGAGAATCCAATCCTGGCTCTTGTGCATTCCAGGCAAAGATGCTAGTGCTCCACCACTGAGTTACGTCCCCAACCACACATTTCATTTCTTTAAGTGGAAGCTCTTTCAGGGCCATAGGCACTTTTGTATTGGGCTACTATCCTCCCTGGGGCAACAATAACACACACCGTCTTTCCCTAATAAAAATCTGCAGAATGCGTGGAACAGTAAATAAGAATTTGAAACGATTTTTATTTCTCTCTTAAGGCTGTTATTCCCTTGTACAACGTGTCCATTTTATAGCTGGATCATTTTATTATGTTTCATCTCAAGTGTTTTAAAGATAATCCAATAGAAAAAGGCTTGAGTTCATCAGTTTGTTTTCTTGTGCTCAGCTGGGGTATTGGTTTATTGATCAGAGCGCTGAAACCTTATCCCAACCCCGCTGTTTATTATTGTTTAAGGCTCTAGCTGAAAATACCTTCCAAAGTTATTAGCTTGTTTTCTTATTGGAATTTTAACACTGCAGTGGGTCTATTACACAATATGCCATGTCTGCTCATGGTCCTAGAGAGACGCTCGTGTGAAATGATCCTTTAGCGATAGAAAACCTTAAGACTCTCATGTAATCAGCTCTGAAGGATAACATTGACTGGACTGGAGGATCACATAGAGCTGGCAATCAGCACTAAAATAAATGCAGCTAGAACATGATAACCCCACCAGTTTTTTGGGGGAAAATATGTTTACCCTTTTGAAAGCACTCTCACTGCCCAAGTAGTTTCAAAATGGGGTATAATTTCATAAATGGCTGTAATCACCACTCTCTCTCTGCTAAGGTGTTCTGAACACCAACAAAGAACATTTTACCTGAGTCAGGCTTGGAGGTGCCTACTTTTTGTTAAGATGCAAACCTGTAAGAATGATCAAATGTAGGAGTAATTATTTAACATTGCTCCACTTCAAAACAGATGACTGCTTACCCCAAGCATGGGAAATCAAATGGAAAGGATTTTTCTATGTTCATCTACTTTAAAGGTAAGTCAGAGTCCTTTCATATGATAACTGACGAACCGTGAATATGATAGAATCGACAAAAAGCTCATTGATTCATTCATTCTGTCACATGACCTTGAAATACATTTAGATATTTGATGTCTTGTGTAAGTCACTGATAAAATGAAAGAACATTCTCTGTCTTCCCGAGAGCTCAGATTTGAGTTGGGCAGAGAACCTCTAATAATTATGGTAACATAACAAAAAAGGAGCATTACAATGTGATACCCAGGACACCAGGAAGTGCCAATCACAGAGGGGGCAATGGAAGGGGCAGACTGGCATTTGGCACATATGAGTTGCATTTTGAGTTGTATTTGCTTAGACTCTTCTTTCTAAATTTGTGTTCAAAATAAAAAAAAAAAAGTCTGTTTATGTCTGAGAGCATTCATTGTCCCCGTGTCAACCTTCCCCACTGGATTCACCCATTGAACTTGTTACAACTGGTGTCAGTCTGACACTGAGCATGCGCTAAGCATGTCATGATTGACACTGCCAGAGGCCAGCAAGCCCTCAGGTAAGGGGTAGATGTGGTTACACTTACCTTGGAGCTGATTGAGGAGTCCGGTCTCTAACCCCTAAGTTCTTTGCTGTGTTCTGAACTCTTGCACCCTGAAAGTTGGGGAAATACTTTCAGCTCAATAATAATCTGAGTTAATTCAAATAAACCTAGTTGAGGCATTATTACAACACTATTTAACATGAAGGGACACTAAAAAGGAATGCAACAAGAACCACTATATGGATGCTTTCAAATTTTCAAAAGCATTCTTTGTGTATACTTCTATGAGTTCAACTATATGGTTCTAAATACTTATTATTCATCCTATAGCTTTGGGTTCATTCAAAAGTGAGTTTAACCAATTTCCATTTATTCGTACACCTTCTGTCTTTGTCTTTAGGGTAGTATTGGGTGTGCAGTAGGTACTTGGAGCATTTCAGGGTTTTTTTTTTAAAGCAATTAATCACTTAAAACATTGAGAACAGGATAGAACCATGCTATAAACACATGTTAGCACAGGAATCATACCTACATCTCTTTAGATGGACAGTTATTTCAAGTGTAATAATGTTTCACAAGAAAACATCTAAATAGTCTAAAGAATTTCTACACAAGACATATGAATGTGGATTTATGACATCTAAGAGTTTTGACTCAAAGTTGGTGGTATAAATACAATATTCTTCAGAAATAAAAGGGGCCGTGTAACCTGTCTGTTTCATGAATGGAGTTTCAACCACTATTTGGTTCCTAATGGAAGCTAGTTACATTGACTCAACTATGACCATTTGCTGCTGGGCACAGGAAAGGAGAGCGGCTAAACCAAAATAAAACCCTGAAATGCTCCAAGTACCTACTGCACACCCAATACTAACCTAAATAAAGTTGAAAAAAAAGGAAGAAAAACCCAACGGATAGACTCTCTCAAAATAAAACTAAGAGCTGGGCGGTGGTGGCGCACGCCTTTAATTCCAGCACTTGGGAGGCAGAGGCAGGCGGATCTCTGTGAGTTCGAGACCAGCCTGGTCTACAAGAACTAGTTCCAGGACAGGCTCCCAAACCACAGAGAAACCCTGTCTCGAAAAACCAAAATAAATAAATAAATAAAACTAAGAAATGAAATCAAATCTTGAAAGGTGAACAACACAAAGGACATTTAAGAAGTGATTAAAGAACAGAAATTTGTAATAGAGCCTATAAATTTGTGATCCTAGAGAAGCTAAATAAGAAGGTGAACCCAAAGAAAACATATAGTCATCCTCCTGGATGTTGGAAGTAGACGAGATTGCTGGGCAAAAATTGGGAACTTGGGGGTGAAGTGGGATGGGAGTAAGGGGAAATGGGGAGAGAAAAGTGAGAAGGAGAGATGGGGGGAGCTTGGGAGAATGGGATGGTTGAGATAAAGGAAGGGTGGATATGGGAGCAGGGAAGTATATATCTTAATTAAGGGAGCCAATTTTAGAGTTGGCAAGAGACTTGACCCTAGAGGGGTTCCCAGGTGTCCAGGGAGATGTCCCCAGCTAGTTCCTTGGGCAGTTGAGAAGAGGGAGCCTGAAATGGCCCTACCCTATAGTCATACTGATGAATATCTTGCATATCATCATAGAAACTTCATCTGGCGATGGAAGAAGATAGAGACAGAGACCCACAATGGAGCACCGGACTGTGCTTCCATGGTCCAAATGAGGAGCAGAAGGAGGGAGAACATGAGCAAGGAAGTCAGGACCGCGAGGGGTGCACCCACATACTGAGACAATGGGAATGATCTATTGAGAACTCACCAAGGCCAGCTGGACTGGGTCAAAAAAGCATGGGATAAAACCGGACTCTCTGAACATGGTGGACAATGAGGGCTGCTGAGAAGCCAAGAACAAGGGCACTGGGTTTTGATCCTACTGCATGTATTGGCTTTGTGGGAGCCTAGGCTGTTTGGGTGCCCACCTTCCTAGACCTGGAGGGAGGGGGGAGGACCTTGGACTTCCCACAGGGCAGGGAACCCTGACTGCTCTTCGGGCTGGAAAGGGAGGAGGAGGGGAGCAGGGGAGGGGGAGGGAAATGGGAGGCAGAGGCGGAGAGGAGGCAGAAATTTTTAATAATAATTTAAAAAATTAATTTTTTTCACTTTGGGAAACTGAGACACTAAGTCTGCTAACAAGTTAGGCTAGCCAGGCCTTCAAAATAAGATTCTGTCTCAATAACCCAATAAACAACCACCACAACAAGATTCAGTAACAAAATAGTTCTAATACTCAAAACTTAGTAAGGATGAAAAATGTTTAAGCACTGTGCTTTCCAGGGTCAAGTTTAAATGGCTAAACCTTCCAATTCAAAGGGAGAAAGAGGAAGAGCCACACCAGGCTACTGAACAGACGTGCACTGTAGCCTCTTGGAGACCATATGGGAGGAGTGGGCACCAGCCACCTATCTCTCACCACCTGCCAATGCCCAGTGCCTGAAGAGAGATGCTCCCTTACAGGAGCACGGCAGGCTGAACCCTTGGACATCAATCTACCAGTCTGATTCCCAAAGAGAGGGCCTGAGGCTCTGCAATCTTTCACAGGGAGAGATAATCAGGTCTTCACTTCTCTCTGCCCTGTGCAATACACTGTGTCTTCCAGCTCTCTCTGCCCTGTAGGTTATACAGCTTAGAGCTAAGGGACCAGCCTCAAAGAAGAAAGCTACCTATTCTCAACCCAGTTATAAAAAAGAGAGAGAATAAAAGAGTGATAAAATATTCCTGACTTGGAATCTGCCTGACTTCCCAATCTTTCTGATTCTATTTTACACATCCAATATCAATACTACAGATGCATACCATGCTTGTAAGGAACTTGGTAGCAGTGAAGTCGGACATGTGTATATTAACTTCTCTTTATCTCTAGTTTCTCTATGTCCATTTTTGTTCTAAATGATTGAAGCCATTACAGAGGTTTTTTTATGTCCAGTTTCATTTTAATGATTAAAGATAGTACAGAGGTTTATGGTTACTCAGACCCACAGGTAGGAATGCATGTGGAATCATCTCAGAATAACTCTGTAGTGGAATGATTGCTAGAGGGTCACTCTAGTTCCTTCTCCTTGTAAGTCATAATTGTGAGGTACCTTTTCCAAAGCTCCCCATGTATATAATCTGAGCATAACACAGAAAAAACAAAGAAGACCTCATCTACCTTTTTGCTCTGGTTTCTAACCTAAATCCCACCTCTGATGTGACAATTTACAAGCTTGTCTTGATTTGTTTTTTAAAGCAGAATTTGTGCATCTACTTCCCCAAGTCCTTCTTAAATCATATGGCAGTTTACAAATGTAGCATTCTTCTGGTGGGTCTAAACTTTACCAGTCCCCACATGACCTTCTAAGTTCCACTCAGTCCATTTCCACACCAAGATTCCAAAGGCAGAAGAGCCAAGGCATGCCCACTCACTGGGGCTGCAATGGGCATTGCAGAAGCTAGCTCCCTGTTGACTTCGTCCATCTATTTTTTCACTGGCTAGCTTGACCTTGCATAGTAAAATCTTGGGAACAATTCTTAGGGAGGTTGACAATGTTTATGTTTGCCTAAGTAATGTTTTAATGAATAAACTGGTTATAATTACAAAATCATATCTAATGAAGTCACTGTCGCTGAATAACTCAGGGCAAGTCAGTTTTTGCTGCTGCAGGCCAAAGGACTGTGACAGAAAATATATAAAATTTATGACTTTCATTTTTCTTATCACTGCTTAAATGTCTTTTGTACTAGCTCAATTCTATTTTCTTTTTTTAAAAATTTATTTTATTTATTTTTTCCATGCTATTTATTGAGCTCTACATTTTTCTCTGCTCCCCTCCCTGACTCTCCCCTCTCCCGTTCAACTCTCCCCCAAGATCCTCATGCTCCCAATTTACTCAGGAGAGCTTGTCTTTTTAAACTTTCTACTTCCCATGTAGATTATAGCTATGTAAGTCTCTTTTAGTGTCCATATTGTTGTCTAAGTTCTCTGCAATTGTGGTTTGTAGGCTGACTTTCTTTGCTTTAAGTTTATTTCTAATCAGAACAATGGAAGCCAGTGCGTTTTAAAAAGAATTTAAACAATTTAAGACCAAGTTACCTTGGTTCTTCAAACGCTGTTGGGTTACAGTTTAGGAAATCATTCTATTTAGAAGAGAACACACAGAGAAAGTAGTATAGCCTTTAGTGATGGGAAGACAGCGGAAAGGTTCATATTTGGCTCAAGTGAAAACTCTGAGGGGAGGACTTTATCCTTAGGAAGATGGACACATCCTATCATGGAATGGAAGGCTTGGGGAGATGGCAGAAACTAGCAGGGCCCTCACAATTACTCCTCTTCTTTGGCCCCTCCTGAACTGCTTCCCAGGCTTATTAAATTGCCCTCAATTTATAGAAGTGCCACACATCCTTTATTTTGATACTGCTAAAAGCCCAGGCCACTCTTGTTTCATGTGACCATTTCCCTTTTTTCTTCTAGGTGACACAGCACAGAAATCCTTTTCAACAGTGTCCACACTTGACTAGGTGTCTGTACTATTTTCTCATTGGTCATTCTTCCCAGTCATGACTTATGCAGAGTCAAGTGCCTAGAAAAGTGTTCGTCACACAGACACCCATAAGACACCTGATAAATGAACCAAGGCAAACCAGGTCCTGGCAAACAACTCCCTAAGACAGGCAGGAGAGGGGAACTTACCTGTTTTCTCATCACATCAGTAGCCTGCATAATATATCGAGGAGGCAGCCCGTGGCTTCTGGCTAGAGTGATGGCCTGCTCCAGCGTCACACTCAGCGTGCACCTGTGGGACAAGGTAATGGAAGTCATGATCAGACCCACTGAGCCATTCCTAGAGAAACTGGAGCTACCAATGTCATCAGAAACCAGCCAAATGCAAAGTTACTCAGAATCCAATACTGACTCCTCTACACGAAGTTCCTATTTAAAAGGAGGCCACAGAGACACATACATTACTGGGGATATTGGTTAAAAAATTTAAATATAAAATAAACCTATTGTGAACTATGTATAAAAAAGAACTTTACCATATAAAATTGAATAACTGTATTTATAGTGAAAATGTAATAATATTATTAATAATACATATTATTTAGAAGAAATAGTGTTTAATTTATCTTCTTTTAAATATTGGCAGTTAATAGATTTTGGTTTGGGTTTTCAGAAACACGGTCTTATGACAGCACAGAGTGACACCACATTCATGATTACCTCTTCAGGGATGGGATTAACTGGCAAGGAACTTCTCTAGATCTGTCCAGGACGTTACTAACGACCCTAAGAAACGCCAAGTAATGATGTGGGTGCTCTCATACATGAGGAAATGTGACTCATCCTTAATTATGAGACTGTGGTACAGAATCCCAATACATTTGGTGGATTTTACTGATTGTCTAAGAGGAAGAAGAAGATTTAAAAGAACCGTTTATAATATGAAAAAGACCCTGTCAAGGCCAGGCTATACGATCAATCACACATCACTCTAAGGAGGAGCATGCTGAGTTCCTCTGACCAATAAAGAACCTGAAGAATTGCTGCTCATAATCACTGCCGAGAATTTCTCTGGACTGCTCGCAAGCCGATGGTCTGAAGTTACATCATTAGCTTCTAGTTGGACACAATGTTCACAAGCATTCAGTGTTGGAGTCGATCAGAATTGTCTCACACCCTGTTGTCCATGAACCCGTAGGCCACCAAAGGACAACCAGTGTACCTGACGGTTCATGTAAAAACCAATCAATTTCATTTAACTGCCTGCCTCCTCAACAGACTACAACCTTTTTGTCCTTACTGAGGTGTTCTCTGCTCCACTTTAAATCTGTTAACCCTAACAGTTTAACCAACAATGCTCATTTCACCAGCTGAATGTAGGTCAAGAAATAAAAAATATCTTAATTTCATTTTCTAATCCTGAGACATAGCTGCACTTTCCTGATAAGGCATGGCTTGCCTCTTCTGCTGCAAAGGCAGACACAGAGAGGGTTTTTGTCATCAACCTTCTTAATCATTTCACACTGACTTAGTCTTCATTTAACAGATTGTGAATAGCGACACAGCGGGAAATGGGAGGCCAGAGAACTGAAAAGATTTTAATTCAATGGGGCCATCCATGCAGCAATAATATAGTCAAACAGGGGGCATCCAAGTGTTAGTCATCTCTTCTGTTTCTCCCTCCCTTCCTCACTGCTCCCCACCATCCCCCCATCTTCCCAGACGGAGTCAGTCTCATTATTTAACACTGGCTGGCTGGTCTAGAACTCACAGCAATGCTCTTGCTTCACCTCCCAAGTGCTGGGATCAGAGACCTAAGATACCACATGTGGAACTAATGACATCTCACTTAGAGGAAAAACTGATCTTCAAATGAGTGTGTGTGTGTGTGTGTTTTCTTTTCTCAGCCAATCAAAAAATATGCTGTGTGCCTTTTAATGAAGTCTCATGATTAACTAAAAAAAAAAAAAATTAAGGACTTTTTTTTAAAAAAAGATCATGTAAACATTGGGAATATTACTGGCTTTGTGTGAAGTGCATGTGTGTGTGTGTGTGTGTGTGTGCATTTGCATGCATATTCATGTGGTGGTTAAAAGTCAGTTGTAATTGTTGATTCTCAAGAGCCTTCTACTTTGCTTTTTTGGATGTAGGAAGACCTTCTGTCCATGTGTTGCTTTTATTTGTTAATGAATAAAGAAACTGCTTTGGCCTGTAGCAAGGCAGAACTTAGCTAGGCAAGGAAAACTAAACTAAATGCAGGGAGAAAGAAGGGCAGAGTCAGAGAGATTTTAAGAAGCCTCCACCAAAGTCAGGCATGCCAAATCTTTGCCGGTAAGCCACTGCCACGTGGCAATATACAGATTAATAGAAATGGGTTATATTAATGTAGGAGTTAGCCAATAAGAAGCTAGAGCAAATAGACCAAGCAGTGATTTAAATAATATAGCTTCTGTGTTGGTTATTTCAGGAGTCTGGGGGCCAGGAAACGAACAAGCAGCCTCCCACTACAGCTCTCTCCCTGGAATCTGGAGCTTGCTTAGGGTATGATAACTGGCTGCTAACTCTGAGGGACCTGCCTGTCTCCACCCCACTCCAGCACCCAGCACCGGGATTACAAATGTGCGCCACACCAGCCAGAGTGTTATGTTTTGGGGGCTTGAACTGGAGTCCTCACGCTCTCACAGCCTGGAGGTTACCAACTGAGCCTCTTCTCAGCACCTACCACAGAGGAGTGCCTTTCATTCACTCATTCATTCTGGGCGACTTTCACGTGTCCACTTTGCACCAACTACCATCAGCTGCCAGCAGAAACAGACTTGGTTCTAAGCTGAAAATTTCACTTTGGGGACTGCTTGCTGGAAATGATGCTTTGAGGTTCTCCGAGGGGCCCTGGCAGTCACCAACACCATCACATTCTTTCTTCTTTAAATTCACAAAGTAAAACGTGTTAACTGCAAAGGGTTCCAACTGTTATTTTCTCCACTTCCCGGCTTCTTCACTCATAATGTATAGTCTCGTGTGGACTTTTCATGGCAGCTGGCTATTTCTGGAACTGAGCTAGCAGAAGCTGCGTTAGGGTAACTCGACTACGATTATTCAGATGAGTCATAGTTGCGTCCATGTGGAGTCAGGGTCTTGCAGTATTCTAGCACAGCAATGGCTTCCCGAGCATTTTCCTGCTTGCACACTGCGCACAAGCGATGCAGGACCAGAGGCCCCCAAATCCTGCTTGTCTTGACTGCAAGTGTGTGTTGTCAGAGGAAGCAGGTGTTGACCGCTCTTGCTCGTGTGGAGGTGTGGCCTCCTAACAAAAACTCTGTACAATAGCTTTCAAAAGGACATGGTTCGGGCTGTGTGCTACAGAAATTCATAAAGCTTTAGGTTAACAATGGAAAAGTGACCCAGCCATTAGCAATAATACATTTTTCCTACTGAAATGCTTTTCTGGACTCTCAGTAACTCAAATGAGATCAGTCATGCTAAAAGCTAGAACAAATTTTCTATTCTCCTCATAGAAAAATTATATCACAAAATTCTCATAGTTTGGTAGGCAGTCAAATGCAGTGCCATCAAAATTATGGGGAAAAAGGACAGAACTGGGTCACACAAGAATATCATATTCCAAATTTTGTAAGGCTTATTTTATTAGCATTTACCCCAGTGAGTTGTTCTTGTTCTGACATTTGATAAATACTAACTTTCATTTCTTTTTTTGTCTTCTCATTTTTCTTAAAGAAGACATTGACTTCAGGCCCTCACACCTTCACTGTTCAGCAAGAGCAGTCTTCTTCCTTTCCCTGCTACGACATGAGAAGATGACATTCTGGGCCTTTCTTCAGCCAAGTCTCGCTGAGGAAGAAAAGCTAGGATTCTCAAAATTACTTCAGTGTAAAATGCTGTATTTCATCTATGTATTAACCACCATCTAAGTTCAGGTTTTTAGACATCCAGTCTTCCATGAAGCAGTTTTTGCAATATGCCTCCTATTTAAGATGTTTTATGATACACCTATAACAAATTAGACTTTCAAAATAAAAAAAAAAGTCTCTCAAAGCCTCAGGGCCTTCTGTATATTTGGTCATTTATAATAATCACAGATGGAAAATCAGTTTAATTCTAACTACATCTTCAAACCTTCCAGGTCTATTGACTCTTTTAATGTTGATGCAAATTGCAGTGTGTAAGTCCCTCTGGGGCAGATGCTGTACCATGAACACGTGGGGAGATGATCACCTCCTCCAATCTTCAGGAGTGGAGCTGGACTTAGAGCAAGACTGATGTGGGGTCAGTGTTGAGTGCTGGTTGTTGTCCCAGTGTCTTTGCTCTCAGCGTACACAGGCCCAGAGGTGATATTTTGCTTAGAGTTAAACATTTTGTGCTATCTCTCAGAGCAAGTATTAAAAGCTTTTGTTATTAGGTGTGTGTGTGTGTGTGTGTGTGAGAGAGAGAGAGAGAGAGAGAGAGAGAGAGAGAGAGAGAGAGAGAGAGAGAGGAGAGAGAGAGAGACATATTGATTCAGGTTTTGACTATAACTCAAGACAACAAATTTGACACGTGAACACCAGGCTGATGACAAACACCTCTAGATTTGTAGCCACAGTTTGTCACACAATAATATCATGTAAATGTTCATGTAAAAATATTTTAAGTAATCAAAGATAGAAAATGCAACACTTAAGAAGAGGTTCTTAGTATTTACTCTTCCCACATTTGAAAAATTGTGAGACTGAACACTAGTTCAAAACCTGTTTTCTGCATCATATTACATGCTCAGAACTAAAATCAATGCTGAGAACGTCATCAGCACTGAGTTTGTAGATGTGTACTGATGATTCCAAAGTAATTTGAGTTCTGTTTTTTAAACTATTTTGAGCATTAATTATAAAATGGCATCACTTGTATACATTTGATCTTATTATTAGCTTACAAATACAGAGTATGTGGTAAACAGACCACTGGACTCTACGGGTTTGTGTCAGAGCCTCTGAATTGAAAAGAGCAGGTGTTGACCCGTCTTGATTGTGAACATGGTTGCTTGGAGGTGTGGCCCCTTAACAAACACTCTCTGTAAACTGGCTAACCCTGATGCTCACATGCTTAATTCACTTGCTTAATTTGAATGAGCTGAAAACAAAAGGAAATCAGGTTAATTTGAAATCCGTGAGCTTTGCCTGGAGGAAGAAGGCAACGTCGTGATCATAAACTGCGTTTCTTTTCACTGTTCTTCACAGCTTTGGTGCTGCCTTCACTCACTGAGACAAGGGAGAGGAAATTCTCCAGGGGTACAGCACC